AAGTGTATGCTCTTGGTAGCTATGAGAGAGATATTTGTGTAACGTATATAGAGAGATGACCATATAAGGTGTGTAGAGAGATGGCTGTGTAAGGTGTATAGAGAGATGCTCCTCTCATGTAGAGAGATCTTACAATTTATAGGCATAGAGCCTTGGTTGAGATGGTGGCGTGACATGATAGAAGACTAATCATTCGAAGAGGATAACTAAGAATAGGTACACTTAGAGAAAGTCTTGATCTTGTAGAGTGGTTATCCCTGTAATTATTCCTCACATGCACTAATCTCTTTGGACTTCTTGAACTTTGGATCGGGCTGCATCCATTAGCTGAGGTTGACCTACCTTGTGTTGATTTGGGCTCAACCCATGAGCTGAACCCAGGTCGGGTCTAAATCTGGGCTTGTCAAAGTGTAATATTAATAAAACATGTTTATTATTATGCCATGTTTAGCTCGACATAAATAGGGCATGCTTGGATTGCATACTAAAAAATAGTATTCCAAATTAACTTCCTTTCTCCCTAGGCTAAACTTATTATTTGTAAGTTCATTACAAACTAAAAATCTGCTTGTTTAGATGCTAGCAAAATCAAGTAAATAAAATGGTATAAAGATTCATACAATACATCTCTATCATAAAAATGTTTAAAAAAGATTAATGTTCACACATACCAATTAAATAAATTTGTCATTTCAAAAGGAATTACCCATATTTAATAGTAATTTGACCTAATAAATTGTACCATTTTGACAATTATTAATGCTATTGACTCGTATCATTTTCAAATACACATTGAGAACTATTTCCAACCCAATATCTTTCACTCTGGGATTTCTTTCTCTACCTCATCTCACACACCCCCAACACAAAATAAACTCATTTGATTTCTCTAGTATTGATTTGTGAAATAAGATAGGGGCAGTCCAACATAAATAGAAGTCTTAGGTAAAACGGTTAAATAAGGTTGTAATATACATAATACAATAATGTAGATAATATTAAATAATGATCAAAATATTAAAAATTTATCCACTTTAAAAATTACTTTTCCTAATTTTTAAAATGCAAAAAGACAAATAAAAATTTGGTTGCTAATTTTTTCCTATGAAAACCCCATTAATTAAAGTTGAATTCTAAGGTCGAGCGTAATAAACTTTGTTATCGGCCGAGATATAGAGACGGAGAATTAAAATTTTATTTTTGGGAGTTAAATAATATTTCAATGAACAAATGTGAGTGGAAATATGTGTAGATCGATTCTTTCAGAAAAAATGTGACATAATTGAAGATTACAAAAATGTTTTATGTTTAAACGGGAAAATTAAGCAAGACAATTACAGTTACAACTAATTTTTTGGATAATGAAATAACTTTTTTTTCTTGTTATTTTGTGCGCTGTAAAAAAATTAATCAAACAAAAATCCTAACTCAAATAAAAGGGACCCAAATTTAACCTAAGATACATGGTGGTAGTTACACAAGTAAAAGGGACTCATGAATTGTGATAATTACAAAATATTAAATTCTCAATTTTAAAATTTTAAAATTAGTACAAACGAATTCTGATTATGCTATAATGACTGCATTCTTCTTTACAATAGTTTTTCCTTGTTTATGGCATCATTGAATAGTGGTAGTTTTATTTGCTCAAGTAAAAGGTAGCCTTTTTCAACCAACAATTGTTGCATTAGCGCAAGTCAAGTCCCACACGTCCAGTTCTTGCATGAAATGAAACTCAAATTGTGGATTTGGATGGAACACTAAACAACCAACAGAAATTGTACAATGCAATGATTAATTGTGGAAAAATTTACATTTAAAACTTTCTTATATTTATAACTTAATCAGATCATTTGAAATTTAAAATGTTACTCACAAACTCTCTATTAACACTTAGACTTTATTGTCAATATCCGTTAGTATATATAACATTAATAAATTATACTTAGACCTTCTAAAATTTTGTAAGTATGTAACACTTAGATTTCTTAAATTTAAAATACTATACTCAAACCCCTTATTAATTACGGAACTAACGAAATTTATTAAACGACTAAATTCTCTCAATTAAAGAGAGAATATATTGTGTTCATTATAGTTTGACCACTTATTTATTTTTTAATTTTATTCCAATAGAGATTATAATTATATACAAATGAGTGTTTAATTGATTTATTTGATATATTTATATCGATTATTACTTTTTTGAGTTTTTCCTCAAATCTTGTCTTCTCAAAAACTTTATTCTAAAACTCATTTAGTTTTAAACTTATTTCTCTAATCCAGTTTTTTTAAAAACGTCATTCTAAATGGCGTCTTCATGAATTAAAACGTCATTTAAAAGGATAATTTTAAACTAATTTTTTTTTTATTGAAAACATCGTTCAAAATAACATTTTTAAAAACGTCATTTTAATAATATTTTTTAAAATAAATTTTCAAACAACAACTAACAATCGTTAAAAAAAATAGTAGATAAAAAACGTTATTACCAAAGACGTTTTCTGCCACCACATCAGTGTCCCCTGCATGTTTCCTTGAACAAACACAGTGATGAAAACTTGATGCGATGCATCTTTCCTTCAACACGCTACACTTGATGGTCGGCAAAGCTCAATTAATGGCTGACAAACCCCATTAAATGCTCGGGACTCCCAACACTCTTGGTACGTCCATCGGTGTATTCAGGGACTGGGTCAGAAATTTTGTACAGCATAGACACTTTAATTATTATTTTATATTATATTTATTATATAAAATTCATTTAATATAAAATATTTTAAAAATATACATATATATATATATATTGTCAGAGGTGGAGCCACGAATATCTATGATAGAGACAAAATATAACTGATATAAAAAAATATTAAGCTGAAATTAATACAAAAAAATTCAACTTAAAAATAAAAAAACAGTAAGAATCAACACTAAATTATTGTGAAATAGTAAATTCAATTTTTATTTAGTCGAAACAAAATTTTAACAAAAAGACACAAAATAATTTTTTTAGTACATTTTAACGTAATTATATATTTCAATAAAATATAAAAAATTTTAAAATCTCTAAAATTTTTTATATATGAATTAAATGTAAATTAATTTTCGTATTTTATTAGGTTATAAACTATTATTACTAAAAAAAATGGTAAATAAAAATTAAAAATTATTCTTAAAAAATAACGAATATTACGTTAGATAAAGAGAAATATTGTATTTTCGTCAATATACAAATAAAACATTGACTCAATCCAAAACTAACATATTTATTTTAAAGGGTTAGTGGTCCACTAATTTATTTTAAAAAAAAAAGACTAGAACCATTATTAAAATTTCTAAAAATTTAGGGGGTAAATATAATGTATAAAATAATTTTATAGGTTGGTGCAAGGAAAGACAAAAAAACTCAAGGAACTGAACTTCTTGTGTGTTGAGCTTTTCTTTGTTTCTGCTCTTTTTCTTCTGACTGAGCAGTGGATAGCTGTAAGTGAGTGATACAAATAGAAAAAAAAAAAAGATAAGATAAGTTTTAATCAAGTGGGCCAAAAATTTTGTTTTTTAATGATGATGGGCCAAAAGTTTTGTTTTTAATGTTGGACCAAAAATTTTGTTTTCAATATTGAGCTAAAAATTTTATTTTTTTAATAGGTTTGGGTAGATTGTGATAGGTCAAATATTTGATTTTTTTAATAATTTTAGATAAATAATAGTGAGTTCAATTTTTTTTGTTTTAAATGGACTTAATTATTTAATTATTTTAGATAAATAATATGAACCTAATATAAATAAAGGCACACATAATATATATGTATAAATATATAATACATATACCTAATTAATAAAAAAAAAAATTGATGGGAAGGGCACACCTTAGCCCCTTGTTGATGTGACAGTGTAGAAGGAAATTTCGACCGTATACTTTATGTGATCCACAAGTCTCTTTATGAGCAAGGACTTGATTACGGTACGGTCAAAAAATTTTTTGATTACCATATATTTAAAATTTATTATTTTAAAAAATATTTTTATAATTTTTAAAGATTATTTTATAATTAAAATATTAACTTTTTTTGTGATTAATTTATCACTTTTATGAATATTTTTATTACTATTGTAGATATTTTTACTACATTTGTGGTAACTATTTTTACCACGTTTCTTAAGTAAAAAAAAATATCATTTTTGTGGGTAATTTATTATATTTGTGGATATTTTTATAATATTTGTGAATATTTTTATCACTGTTGTGGTAAATATTTTTACCATTTTTTGGATACTATAATAATAGTAAAACTATTCACAAATGTTATAAAAGTTAAAACAAATATGATAAATCTGTGTATGATACCAAAATTTTGAATTTCGGTATCATAGTCAAATCCTATGATCATTGTCCAAGGTATAAATAGACCAAAAATTTGGTCACACACATTCCGAACTAGAAATACAATACTCATTCTTATTTACTTTGACCTCTACCAGACTTGGCTATCAAAAAACATACGCTACACCAGTCTCCGATCCTCGTCTAATTTTATTCATGTCTCATGTCTCCTATTAACCTTATTCCTTTTTGCAAGAATCTTAATCTATTTCATTCATGTGTCTCTATCTCAAATTATTGCGCAAGAATTGACCCATGCAGAATTCGATCCACATTACATAAGACCTAGTTACGAGCTTAATTAGTTTATAGATAATCTTAGTTTATGAAACACATTCTTATTTTTTAACGAATGAATTCTTATTTTTGTTGGAAATTCTACTTAAAAAAGACAACAATGATGCCTCTAGTTTGTATTTTCTTTTTTAACAGTGTTACAATACAAGGGAGGGGAATTCGACCTCGGCAACAAAGGATGCCACATTGAAGGACGTTACCATTTGGATGGACCCTCAGTGTTACATCCTTCGCAATATGGTGATGGTTAGTATTAGTCACATGCTTCAGGTTAGGACATTAATTTAAACAATTAGATGCTCATTAAATTGGTATATTTCTTTTTGAAAAGTAAATTTGTTATCCCCAAGTCCTCGACCAGAAACCATACTCCAATAAACAAAAAGTACAGGATGAAAAAAAGAGCAGCCATACTTGAAAAACATAGATGATAGACCTCATTCCATGGAAATATCAGCACAATGCGGATTTGGGGGGTTTGAGGCAAAAGACGATTCAGAGGAGCTCTGAGCCTGGCCAGCTCCAAAAGTGAACTCTTTGAGGAGGGATGTCTAAAATGGGACGGGCAAAGATGAACGTAGCACCAGGGCCGTTGAAAGCAGGAACAAGAACTGTATCATTAGGCTTTGAAAACCCAAAGCTGAAGGAAGGCATTCCTGCAGATGAGAAGATTGGCAAGCTGGGGTTGCTGTTCTCAATTGGCCCATAGATTTTCTGCTCATACTCCTGTAATTGCTGGTAGGTGGTTCATGACACACAGCAAAATTTCAGAACTGAATGAATCTGCTTGTTTACACAAATAAGAGGGGTTACAAATACAAATGCACTTATAATATCTAAACAATTTTCAACTTACATTCAGAAGACTTTTGAACAGGAAATTGATGGTTCACCTAGAGTGATCTCAACTAGAATTCAACGCCTTAACACGTTTTTCTACCATTGCAATTTAATCTGTGTTCTCCAAGTATTTATTCTATTGCCAAAAACAATGTGATCATAGAAAGTTTGGAATTTTTTAAAAAACGTTATTAAAAATAACATATTTAAAAACGTCATTTTGAATGACGTTTTCAATAAAAAAATTTTAATTTTAAATTATCGTTTTAAATGACGTTTTCTCTCATGAAAGTGTTATTTGGAATGACGTTTTTAAAAAAAAAGTTGGATTTAGAAAATAAGTTTGAAATTGATTGGGTTTGGAAATAAAGTTTTTGGGGAGATTGGGTTTGGGGAAAAGCTCCTACTTTTTCCATAAAAAATTGAAATTTTGTTCGATTTTTATGTCAATAGATGATATAATAAAATATGAAATATGAAAATTTAACTGCATAGATAACATCAAATCAACATATAAAAATAATGACATAATTCTTATCTTTTTGTGATTAAATAGATTATCAATCATTACTTGTACGTAATTCAATCTGATAGAATTTTTATAAATAGAGCTTCATTGATGCTTCAGGTATGTCACTCCTAACTTCTAAACGGAGTTCATACCTTTGACTCATTTACCGACTTAGGCATTGGAGAGTTTACTCCTGAAATTTTCCTCTGATCTTCGATTTCTTTTTCAAATGATCGAAATCCAACAAATTGACGTAGAGGTCGTCCAAATTATGTCATCAAAAGTACTAATTATGATTTTTTTAAAGAAAAAATTGAGTTTTTATTTTTAATTTTATTTGAATAAATGATATAATATAATATGAATTTTAGTTACAAAATTTAAATATTTAATATTTTATCTTTAATTAAATTATTTTTTGTGTAAATGTAATATTTTAAACTTAAAGGATTCAAGTATTGAACGCTTCAAATTTTAAGGGTCTAAATGTAATTTGCTAACAGGTATAAGATCAATGTTTTACGCTCGTACAAACTTTACGGGGTATACAATATTTTAATTGTTAGGGATTCAAGTGATTAAGTGATAAATTTTAAAGGTCTAAGTGTAACTTTTCCTTAATTGTGTATTTTTGCGTTGATTTGACATGATTTTAGGATTGTCCAGCTTATAGTTTGGATGTGGAGGATCAGTATGGAGTGAATAGGAAACTTAAACATCTTGATTTCTATTCTCGCCGGCATATCTGAAGATTAATTGTTAATTGTAGTTAGCGGGTCATTACATTTATTCGGAATTTATTCTAGAAAAGACCCCCGATGAACTATCAATCTAATACCTCGTATCCAAAGACTCTTGAACCAAATTGACATTATTAAGCGTAAAGAAAAAACTCGACAACTCAAAGCAATCCCTATCATTAAAATTTCTACGAAACCCAAAATTTCAAGAAATCAAATTAGAATATGTACGAATCATAGATGTAACTAAAGTATTATGATAAGCAGAAACACTAGACAATCTAAGAAATAGATTGGCAAAAAAATTACTCCCCAACCTATATGTCCTACCTAAAACGTATCCTATTTATATGCCTTAAAATGGAAGTGACTCTATGAGAAAAAAAGAAAGCGACTGAGAAATGAACCTCCGAGGACTACAAAAAATTCCCTCTCAACCCAATTAGCATCCCACCTAGTAGATTGTAACTCATACTTGCTCCTAATAATAACATGCCACAATGAATCTTATTCCGAAGGAAACTTCTATAATCATTTCCTAACCAATGCTATATTTCAAACGGTCCTTTCTACTCTCTCTCAGTAAATAAGAAGACTAGACAAAAACGACTAAATCAAAGTTAATTTTCTCTCCCTACAAATAAAATTATTTCCTCTACCCATCTAATCTTCTTCTCACCTTCTCAACTGCAGGATCCCAAAAAGTCTTGGACATCATATTACACCCCAATGGAAGTCCTAAATATTTCAATTGCCACTCTCCCACTAGACATCCCACCTCCATAGCTACTCTACCTACCTTCTCCTCACCTGAATTAATTTCCAATGTTATACTATTTTCCATATTAACCTTTAAGCCTAGAAATTTTATCAAACACATCAACAATCATTTATGCTCATTCCATGAAGAAAATAAAATAGTATCATCTACAAATTACAAATGAGATACTATTGTCCTTTGCCCTCCTATCACAAAACCTTCAACCAAATTACTTCCCTCAATCTTTTCCATCAATCTACTCAAACCATTCACCACTAAAGTGAACAAATATGGAGAAAGAGAGTCTCCTTGTCTAATTCCCATATATGCAAATGAAACCTTCCCCTTGTTACACAAACCCCCATCCCACAGTTGTCCTTTTCAGCCAGTGATGGCTGTTCTTAAATTCAAGTTGTAGTCTCCCTCCATATAACCTAAAGTTCAGGTTTTCCCAACAATGCCAAATGACAAAAACTACAAGGGGGAAAAAATAATCAGCCCAAAAGGTTAATGTTTTACTGATCTGGTCGTCTTGGAGCATAAAGATCTTCTGCAAGGATTAAAATCTTCCTGAACCATCCCAGCAATGGGCGACCTTTATCCCAACGACCCCGATTTAGTGCGATTTGATACCCTCTTTGACACTTTCCTAGAAAAGGAACAACTGCTATGTGTGTGAAAGTATTTTTGTGTGTGTGTGAAAATACCTTCAAAAACACCGATAAGGGATGAGCTCTAGTTGCTCCGCCGGTGACATGGGTGAAAAATAGAAATTTATGACGAAAAGCTAAAACCTAGGCACCATTGCAGTTTTTCTTTACCAAAGCCACTGCTCATAACTATTATATGCCACCAGATAGCTGCAGGTTCTTTTCTTTACTCGACAATGTATGCATCTTCCATACAGGTGCCCTTTTCAAGAATAGTTTGTTCCACTTGGCTCAAGTCACACCCCTCGAATGTCATTCCTTTCGTGGAACTCAAGTCATTGTTTTGGCAACATTAACAATTTCCCAATAGAAATAGGAGTAGGACCAGAAAATCTGTATTTTAGTACTTTTGCAATCTCCTTTCATGGAATTCAAGTCATAAATTTGGCAACAATAGCAATAGAAATAGACCAATTAGGTCCAGAAAACTCATTTTCGTACTGTTGACATCTGAGAAGCATGATCTTCTCACATGTCCCAAATTTCTTCTATATAATGCAAGAGCAATCCATCAGTCATAATGCCAGTCTTGAATCCTAACCAAGACAACCAACTCAACTTAATCTAATGGCTAGTAAGAAAATAATCTTAGTCCTCAAATATGTAATTTTTCTCAAATAAAAAAAACATCCTCTCAAATCTTTTCTTCTAGTAGACGAAGGAAAAAGAACTTGGAAAGTTGAGCAAATGAACCTTCAACTAACAAAGAAAGATATAATTAAATACATACTTACACACGGGCACACAGATAGACACCTAAATGAGGATGTATATATATATATATAGCAGATTCACTAGTTCATTCACATAAGAATCATATGTAGAATAGTATACTAAAAAAACAACAAAAAAAGAAGAAGCAAATATGCACATATGGCTGTTAAACATGCCAACCTTGAATATTTTTTAATGCCAACTTTGAATATTTTTTAAAGCTCGTTTATGTGTAAATAATCACTCGTTTGTGTGTAAATTCAGCTCGATTAACACTCCTATATGCACTTCAAGACACACTAAATAAAGCTAGAGCAATCAAGTTCTACGACTCCTAATGTGTAATGAGGGGAAAATAACCTAGAGCAATCAAGATCTAAGACTCATAATGGCAATAAGATTAATAAAACAATCATTCCTAATCGGAAAAAAAACCAATGGCAATGAGACAAAAAAGCTAGAGCAATCAAGTTCTAATATTCGTAATGGTAGTGAGGACAGCGGCAGAACCTCACACAAAATTAACCTTGCAAAGTGTGAATTCTTGAATTCAAACAAACACAGGAAGCCTCAACGTATATGGACTACGTATAAAGAAGGAGCTTCTAAGGTTTTGGCGTTAGCCCCAACCAAGGAGATGATGATTAGAAAATCCCTCTTTGCCAAGAATTTTTTAGTTATGCTCCTTTGTGATCCCTCAAACTACGAATAACATTTGATCATTCAGATCTAGCTGCACTGCCCATCCGACAGGTATGGAATTGGAAACACAAAAACCAGTCAAACCTATGGGCATATATGCATGGCTTCAATTTGTTTTACAATCCCCTCAATTCAATATCAGCATTAAGCCAAACATAAGCACCAATGCAATCCTATTTCAACAAAATTATCAGAACTCAATCGTAGGAGAAAACCCAAAAGCTTAATAGATCATATTGCACATAAAAATCAATAGCCCCAAGCTTCACATAAATTCAACCATATATATTCCAGAAATTGAAAAAATCAAGCAACAAATAATATAAGCAGAAAAAAATAATCCAAAACATATCACAACCTCCATTTATTTATGCAACTAGTCAACCCCATACAACATTAGGGCTGTCAAAATTTGACACGACACGATTAACCGACACGAATTAGACCGGTTTGGGTGAGATCTTAATGGGTTTGGATGATAAACGGGTTGACACGCCAAACACGTTTAATAAACGGGTTGTGTTCGGGTGAGACCTGTCAAACTGTCTATCACATGTTTACCCGTTTAAATAAAATTAATATAATAATAAATTAATAATTATTTTAAAAAATTAGCAAAAAAAAAGAAGTAAAGAAATCAATAAAAAAAAAAAGTAAAGTAATAGTTCAAAGGCAAAAGAGAAGAGTTGAAGAGCGCACTTCAAAGACAAAGGCAAACAAATATCTTTTGTTTTTATACCACATTGGAAAATGAGGGGAGATGGGGAGGGTTGAGTTGTCTATAAAAGATAATGACCTCTTACTTTTATTTTTAAAGCTTTCAAGTCTTATTTTTCAAAGACAAATGAGAGGAGTTGTAGAGCACTTCAAAGACAAAGGCAAACTAATATCTTTTGTTTTTGTCCCACATTAAAAAATGAGGGGAGATGGGGAGGGTGAGTTGCTTATAAAAGGCAATAGCTTCTTGCTTTTTTTTTTTAAAGCCTTCAAGTTTTATTTTTATGAGATTTGATTTAAAATTTCTCTTTTTTGAGGTAAGTGCAATTAGTAGTAAAAAAAAATAGAGTATTAAAATTTATTGATATAATTTTTTTAAAATTAAACGGGTTAAACGAGTCGTGTTCGTGTTGAGATTTTTTACTCGTTTATTAAACGTGTCGTGTATGAGTTTACATGTTTTTCACCCGTCACCCGTTTAACCCGACACGATTGACACCCCTATACAACATTAGGTAAGACATCAAACACCACTTCTTTCTTTCTTTCTTTTTCATTTTTTGGAGAACAAACAAAAAGATCCAACACCAGTTTATCATCATTAGGCTAAAAGATCTCAAGTCCCTAACACAATAACACAAACCCAGATCCCCAAAAGGACATATAACCGATTTTCAACCATACAAACTCCATTATATAGAATTATATACTTAAGTCTAATTGACAACATTTCCAACAATGGGGTACTTAGCTTCGAACTTCTTTTCCAAGTCATTAAGCACACTGATCTCTTTGTTGGAGAGTCCATTGAGATTGGCACAAACATCCTCTTCGTTCTTGCTCATCTTGGCCAGAGCTCTGCTGGCATCTTTGCCGGCGAATACGATGTAGTCCTTACCTGGTTCGTAGAAGGACCTACCGGCAGTGACATAGAAGACGCGACCCCTGATGGCCACGTATAAGGTTTTGATGGGTCTGTGCCGTCGAATTGTTTGAGCTGTTGTAGTGTGAAATTCCATTGATTCCAAATCTCAAGTTTTCTTTGCGAATGTGTGTGTGTGTGTGTTCTTCTAGGGGAGCAGATCCTCTGCTGTTGGGAGAAAACCGCATGACATGCGGTTAAGTTACACGGTGCCGTTTTTGTTGCTTTTTGCTATATTTTTTTTAGAAGCCCTAACCAAAACGACGCCTTTTTTGTCCTTTAAATTCCCATCTCTTTCCCTCGCTTTCTCTTTGTCGAACACAAAACTTCTCCCGCCTTTTTCTTCCTCAACACAATCCAACTCTTCTTCATGAAAGTGGTTGATTCTCCTTACCAGTGAATGCCAAAAGTTAGGTAAGGCTGAGTTGATCGGGTTTGGGTTATAAGTCCTGAGTCGCCAAAAGTTTTTGATACTCATCCTGTCCAGTGGCTGAGTTGATCGGGTTTGTTATTGCACCTTCTGGTTGTGCATATTTTCTAGTATTCTGGCCATGGGTGATCAGTAAATGATTGGATTTGGGTATTTTCTACCCCTGATCTAATAGTTTGCGTTATTATTGTCAAAAATGCTATACTTTCAATCATGTTTCTTTCAGTCTTGGTGACTTTGTCATCCCCTCAATTTTATTGTGGGCTTTTAAAGTGACATGCACTTGCCTACTTTTGTGTCCTGTAATTTGTTACCTTGTGAAGATCTGTTTTGGTGGCAATATGTGGCCCCTTGTACGAACGATGATTTGATATATATATTATCTTAAAAGTACTTGATCAATTTTCTTATTTTTTTGGTTGAAAGATAGAAAGCTATAGGTTCTTAGACATTACCTTCTGTATACTGGTATGATCATCTAATCTGAATGCATCTCAATTGTTTATTCCTGCTTGGAATTGATGGTAGAACAACATTGGCCTACTTTGCTTAGAGGCTTCAATCCTTGAGAAGACCCTGGAAGCCTCTAAACTAGCATTGGAGAAAATAAGGTTTTTAAGATCTAGTACTAATTTGTAATATGGTTTGCCCAAAGAAAAATGTATTGTAGAATATTGAACCTTTGGGTTTTGGGTGTTAGAAGTGGGGTATGGTCATAAAACTTGTTTTCCTATCTTTTTAAAACTTCTAGAAATGACTATGTTGAGTTTTGATATTCACGTGTTTGAAGAATGAAGATTAAACCAGCTGAACATATTAGTGCATCCGATGTTGTACTGTTTCATATTTCATTGAACAACATGAGCAATATAGAAAGTATGTTTTTTTGGATTGTTGGCTTATAATAATGAGACAGTTTTTTTTTGTTTTTTTGTGGCTTATAAATGAATCGGGTAGTGTCATGAAGCCAATTTTTTTGTACATGTTTAGGCTATTTCTTGTTGGCTTATGCATATATTTTTTGTTTCATTCACCACATGATGTTATTTCAATTAAATTTCTTATTGTAGGATACTATGATGGATGATTTGGGAGTTAATGCGACTGAGAATATACCTCATATTGGTATGCAATTTGATGCGGAGGAAGATGCTTATGCATTTTACAATAGTTATGGAGGGTCTGTGGGATTTAGTGTGAGAAAAAATTTTCAGAATAAAAGTTTGAACGATGACATTGTCATTTATAGAAAATATGTTTGTTGTAAACAAGGTCACAGGGGTCGTGATAAAAGAGAGTGTCAAATAAGGAAGCCTTGAGCAGAGACAAAAACAAATTGCGAAACTCATATGTGCATATCTCTTAATAGAGAAATTAGTAAATTTGTTGTGATGAAATGGAATGACAATCACAGCCATCCTTTGCACCTTGCTGAATGTATGCATATGATGTCATCCCAACGGAAGGTCACCGAAGCACAAGGCATGAATATTGATATGGCAGCGGATTGTCACTTAAGGCTTCATATGAACTTTTAAGTACTCAGTCTGGAGGAAAAGAAAGTCTTGGTTTTACTCGTCTTGACCAAAAGAATTACCTCCGTGAAAGGAGGCAACGAGACTTGAGGTATGGTGAGGCGGGTAATTTGTTGAAGTATTTTCAAACGAAAACAGTGAAAAATTCATCATTCTATTATGGAGTGAAATTGGATATGGAGGAGCATATTACTAATATTTTTTGGGCCGACCCAGTGATGATTATTGACTATGACAACTTTGAAGATGTTGTCTAATTTAACACTACTTTTAGAACGAATAAGGAGTATCGACCATTTGCTTGTTTTATTGGCTTCAATAATTTCAGGGAGATAATTTTATTTGGAGCTGCATTATTGTATGATGAAACGACAACATCATTTCAGTGGTTGTTTGAGATATTTCTACAAGCTATGTCTGGGAAATATCCTATTACCAACTTCACCGACCAAGATCAAGCGATGGCTAAAGCTATTTCTATAATTATGCTAGAGACATACCATGGGTTATGTATTTGACACCTTTGCTAAAATGCTTTAAAACATTTGGAAAACATATAAAAGGATGGTTCACATTTTCCTGCTCGATTTAAAAAGTGTGTATGGATATGAAGAAGAGCATGAATTATATGAGGCTGGGGAATCATTGCTTGCGGAGTATAATTTGTATGATAATATGTGGATGACAGCCACTTGAGTATTGCGAGAGAAATGTGGGTATGTGTATATGAAGAGGATTTTCACTGCAAGAATGAGAAACACCCAATTGAGTGAGAGCTTGAATATAGTCTTACGAAAGTACTAAAAGCCAGACCATGACATTGTCCAGTTCTTTGTACATTTTGAAAGAGTTGTGAATGACAAGCGGTATAAGTAGTTAGACTCAGAATACCAAGTTAGGCAAAAATTACCTAGATTGAAGTTAAAAAGAACTCCAATGTTAGTGCAAGCTGAGCAAGTGTACACTTCTACTATGTTTGAGTTGTTCCAAGAGGAGTATGATATCTTTCAGTGTGCTATTGCGACACCATGTGATGTGTTGGATGGGTGGCATCAATTTGTGGTTCGATTATATGATGAACATAGAGAGTATTTGGTCTTGGTTAAGGCTAATGAGGAGATAGTCAATTGCAGTTGTCAGAAGTTTGATATGGAGAGAATATTATAGGTCATGCACTTAAAGTCTTGGACATGATGAATATTAAGAAAATTCTAGAGCAATACATATGTAAGAGATGGAGACGAGATGCAAGAAAGAGTTGTAGGCCAACCCCCATTTTATTGTCAAATGAAGAGAATTCAAAGTTAATGGTGGCGTCACGTTACAGGCAGCTTTGTCCTAAGATGGTACAACTAGCTACTCGATGCTCTGGTTTTCAACCTACATATGAATTGGTGTCACGTGGTGTTGAGGAATTGTTCAAACAAGTGGATAGTATATATGCATCAATTGGTGATGATGTTGTTGATGACGATGTTGATCCAATCCATGAAAATGTTGACCCAAGTGGAATAGAAAATGTTGACTCAATCATTCTTCAAGTTAAAGGTTTAAAAAGAAAAGAAGGTGATTACAAGGGTTGGAGTCGACTAAAATCTTGGTATGAGAAAGCAACAAAGAGAAAAAAAGGAGCTTCCCAACCATTACATAGTGTAGATTTTTTTAATTCACTTCATATTTTTATAAACATAATTGTAAGTATTTTTTTATTCCAAGTACAAGGTTTCAGTCACCCCGTGTACATCAACATATGGTCAATCGATGTCTTCTCAAGCTTCAAATAGTGTACAAAGTGTTATGGTATGTTACCTTATTGTTAATTTTATTGTTTCACATATTTATCAAGTTTCTTTGTCTAATCCCTTCTCATTAATGTAGGGTACTCCGACTGATTCAACACATGTGCATTTTTTAAACGATGATAAATCATTTTTTCTGCGTGGGGGATACAACTTCTAAGGATGCAGATGGAGGCTACTCAATTTCTCATTTTGTTAAAAACTATTTATTTTTAATGAGAGTACTGACACTTGTATGGATGCTTGTTGTATATTTAATGAATTTGATCTTTTTATAATGTATGTGATCTTTTTAATGAATATGATCTTCTTAATGAATGTGATCTTCCAAGTCACAACAATATACAACACCCACAATTTCATTTAAATTAAACGCACAAGTTCATTTACAACACAAGTTTTATCACTACACCATTACTCTTATAGCTCTAATTCACTAGAATCACAATTATAAGCATCACCACTACTAAAGTGACTACAAACATATTGGACTTCATTGAACCTTCTTTAGGCTCAACACGTTGAATTACATTACAAAGTTCTTCAATTCGTCGTACATTGTCTTCAATTCATCTTACATCCATCCTCTCATTTGTAATTTCCGAAGAGGGGAAAGAAATAGGAGTCATTCACTTAAAAAAGTGACTGGAATCGTCTGGACATATGCAATATAGCTTCCTAGGATTTTTTTCAGATTCGAAAACTTTGATAATCGCCCTTTTGCTACAAAATGGGGCAACGCATATTGCGATATCTTAACTCGCCGTTGCTTATTACTGTGTTTGAAGATGTCATTCTTCAACACTATAAACATGAAAGGACAATTATATTAAAACTCAACATTATAGCATGATGAACTTCATCAAAATGATAGTGCTGGTGTTTGATGAAATGTGAACTTTTGCTTGACTGCTGTTAGTAGCAGTTGACTAATGCTTGTTCAAATTTTGCCTGCAATAGCCCAAATTTTGCTCAGCTTGTTCAAGCATTTTCACTAAACATAATATAGGGCATACAACCAAATTCACAAGGTTGATTGGATTATATTTGTTCTCCAAACTCCAAAGAACTTGAGACAAGCCCATTCTATTTCACATACCACCTCAAGAAATTTGTAGCAAACATGAAGCATATAAAAAAATATGGTTCAAACAATGTAGCAGGCTAACCACAAAAGTGTAGCAAAATTGACCCCAACAAAAATCTGAACCTTGTTTTTACTCTGTTCAATTACATTTACCAAACTTGACCCCAACAAAAATTGCTCAGCAATGACAGGATCCAAATCAGAAGCAACATAATCCTGACAAACATGGTGCAACATCAAACTGAA